TCAATGGACTCAGCCAGTCAGTCAGTCAGTTCTTCTATACGGGTCAGAAACTCGCAGTGCGTGTCACGAAAAGAACTTTTAACACGCCACTACAGACTTCCATCAACAGCTGCCACCTTCTCTCGCTGACTCCATACTGAAGATCAAGTCGCCAGCCAGTCAGAGAGAAAAAGTAACGAGAAACTCTGGCTGGGAACAAACCAACAGGCGAGTTCCGATCGCTCAACGAATATGTTGAAGAAAATGGAGATGGATTGTGCATACATTGAGGAGACCGTCGAATGACATCACGTGAAATGCATTCCATCGCTCAAATGGAATCCGAACGGGAAGCGACGAGTGGGTTGTTGGTTTGAGGGTGACACGAAGGAGATCGTGTGAAGAGGAGATGAGATATTATGGGCAATTGTAGACCCAGATGAAGAAGACGTCAGAAATTAGAAATTGGAGATGTGTTGTTGAAGCCATATGTCCCACTGAAAACCCAAGGGAATGATAATAATAAATACATTATACAACAACAATACGCAACAGCCGTCTACCAGAAGCGGTTCATTCCATGATGGCAGTTCAGGAAGATGTAACGCAGAACCTTTCATAGGACTATACCAATTCTACTCACAACCCTTGGACAACGACGTGATAAGAGTAATAATAATAAGAGTAATAATCTGACTCAACCATCACATGCATGTTGATGCGATCATCAGTCAACCACAATTGTTGTACGATGATAGGTGAGATCACCTGTGTGCAGATACGCAGGTAGGTGGAGTGGGATTTGAAGCAGTGACTCACAGTTTGGTGGATTAATGTTTGGTAATCTGTAAAATGTAATACTTTCATCAGTGTGATTATTGCTATTTTTGTTGTAGTACTGTGGTTTGCGAAACCATCCTGAAGTTTTTCAAACTATCTTCTCTATCCAATAAACGTCCAATAATAAAAGTTGTTTCAGATATGATAGAGAAGATTTCTGGTTCAGGTGGATGATTTTGAGGTGGTGGTCTACATAAGCTGGAGGGTTAAGGTGCGAAGAATTCATCGCCCTAATAGGAAACATAAACTGTGCATAATTCAAATTGAAGTATGTCGCGAATGAGACTAGGAACCCTATCCTGTAAAATAAACACTGCTACAGAAACTCCAAGCCACTAGCTTAAAGCCCTATGTTCCACTGGGAACGTGAAGGAAAATAAAAGATTTTGCATCATACAAGAAGCACATTTATTTTTGTGTTTATATTCAATAGACGCTAAATTATCAGCATCCTTGTCTACCACGATCAGTCACTGTTAGGCCGAAGTCAAGAATCACCACCACCAGAATTCCATATTACATGAAAATAGTGAGTGCACATCCCTAACACAAACTAACAGTTGTCATTAATTCAGATGAAAATACTCCATAAACTTCCTAAAGTACTGGGTAAGTTGCAGTAATGTTCTAGTTAGCATAACTTGACCGGGTATATGCCATAATATTTCGTAAATATCGATGCCAGTCGTGATCTCTAAATTAGAAAATAACGGAAGCCAATAAACATGCGGCCAGAATCCCTATTTAAATATTTAGATGAAAAATTGAGAAGAAATATTCACTCTTTAATGTGATCCTCGTCAATGGCTCTACTGTTATATGTGTGGCACTTAATCTTGGCTATCTGGAGATGAATTGTAGAAAGCGTTGATTTCATACTCATATCTTAATTACAAGTCATTATTATTTTAAACATCCTATTGATTTGCCTACCTCCGCTTCAATTATCACCGTGTCATCAATCGAATATTATGTTGTGGTAAGAGTTGTCTGCTAGCCAAAATTGGTAGACAGCAATTCGCGTCAATGTTTACGTCTCAAATCTTGGTCATGAGAAAAGAACAAGAACAAAGACTAGCTCGGTGGCACAGTGGTTAGGACGCTCGCCGACCATGCAAATGGTCCGGGGTTCGTTCCCCTGCCAACGCACACTTGGTATCTATGGTTGGACTGCAAAATTTGGGTTACTGAAATCACATGCTGAAAATTCCATTCCTGTATCAGAAAGTACGGTTTGGAGACAAGCTGTAGTCAGATGAAAGAATCACAGGAGAGTTTTCATGGGTGGATACGATTCACAGATATATTGGCTGCCCCTCAAAAAAACAGCCACAAAAAGATAACAGAGTAAGTTCCAGTGCGGAAACAACTAATTAGAAGACACTGTTTATCTGCCAATAATAACGAATAATAATGTACATAAAAATCTATAAGTATCTCCTGATTTTCTCAGTAAACGATCTGTTGCTTGTCCCTTGTCTTCTGTCGTTACAATGTGACCACTCATTTATTTCTCTTATTTTTTGACATATATTACGCATTATACAACCACTTGTAATTTTCACAAATATCCCTAACCTTTTAATTGCTGCACCGATTTCCATAGGTAATTGTCATCCGTTTGACATGTCGACATAGACTATTATTAACAAACGCATCACTAATAAAAAGGCACATTATGCACTCGATTAGTGATATGAGGAGATGAAATATTATGGGCAATTATAGTCCCAGACGAAGAGGATGTCAGAAATTCGAAATTGGAGATATGTTGTTGAAGCCATATGTTCCACTTGAAACCCAAAGGAATGATAATGGTATTTAATAGTGAAATCAAGGGGAGCACGTGTTTTGGGAAATCGTCTTGTCTTTAACTTCAATTTTCGTAAACCTAGTAGTTTTCTTAGCTACTATGTGTGCCGATGAAGCTTTTTCTTTCATACATGTCTCTAGATGTAATGACTTGTCATGCTTCTCATGAGCTGAACCAAATTATTTTTCCGTATAAAAATGTTTCACTAACCAATGCTTCCTTATAGTTTGCCGAGAGTTAAATTTGCTAAAATTTGTTAAAATTATGCATAAGCCATTCCGCATATCTTTGGACGGGTCTTTCATGCATGCTACCTATTTTTCAATCCATACTTGTGTTTAGAAAGTTGAAGATATCACTAATTTCGTGTCGCTTGGTGAGATCATTGTTTTCATGTAGACATGTGGAAGTTTCAAGTGTGTGTGTGAGGGGAAGGGGGAACTTGTTTTTAATGATCACCGAAAGGTGGAAGTGTCATCCACCTGTTTACACTAGGATATACTTTCCACATTTGCATATTTCGGTTTGCCGGCTTTGAATTAGCCGTAAAATATTTACAAATACAATGCCAGACGGACTATTTATTTTCACACTGTCAACTTGGTCGTATTAGCGGAAAAATGCATCCTGTATACTCTTTGTGTTTGGATGCCGGATAAACTCATATTTGAAGAACTTAATGTTCCAGGTGGTGTGCAAATAACCCCTGAGGATACAGACTTGCAGTCTTTGAGAAAACCGAAATAAAACCAAATGAATCCAGATAGAATTATATTGATAACAGAATGCTGAGAAACCGCAAGATTTGTATATATTAACATAGACAGTTTAAGTCTCAGTGTTAACAAGAAAAGGGAAAAATATCTATGTTTTCTTCTGGATTTTTATGGATGAAGTTACGTCAAGCAATACAGTAAACTTATTGAAGATATTAAACTGATTATCCTTTTCAACAAATTGCTGTGAGTTCTTCAGAATACATTTACCCAACCGCTCACCACCAGATTCGAATACTTCTTGTTTGAAATCTGTTGTCTAGTGTTTCCACAAATATTCGTAGATTTTTCCCACTATGAAAATTGTTAGGATGCTTTCGAATAAAGCATAGTAACACCAGGGTAAAAGTAACCGTTACTAAATGATTTCATGAGTTTATCATATCAAGAGTAGAAGTGTAACTGAATTTCTTGAAAGTCTCATTTTAGTTTTTTTAATATTATATAAATCCTTTCTTAATTTATTGTGTTGTTGTCCAATATTACCTGATCATAGCCTTCTTTTTGGAGAATTCATGTTAGTAATATGATTGAGTTCATCATTAGAATTCATGAGTGCCAGTTTTAATATCATAATTTAGGATGCATTATAAATTATCCTTGTTTCAAATATAGTAAATAATCATTGCAAAGTGGGAGCAGATATATTGGGAGAACAGAAAGAAGGGCATATCTTCGATTTTCTGGACATGTACCTAAAAGCCTACGTCTCAAGGGAACAAACTCTTATAATAGCGCTATTACCAGACATCTCTTCGATTCGAGTCATGAGGTGAAAATTGCCAAACGAGCCTTCTGTGTCCGTGCCGAGGTTTCGTCAGCGATCAACCCACTGGGGCTGATGCAATCTGCCAAACAAGTGAAGTAGTTAGCACTCTCTACCAATTCACCCCCTATCCTTAAGCTAGGCGTCAATGAAGTCCAGTCCTGTAGCATTATCTTATATTTAACAGCAGTAAATCACATGTCCATTTACGTGGGCGTTGCTATGGAAACAACAGTCGTCTTATGTCACCTTCGGCGAACATGATTTACAGCTATAAGACAATCAACTTTTAAAAGGTCTCATGCCAGAACTTCAGTAAACAACTCCACTGAACATTCATCGACATCGAAATTCATTCAGATATCCAATGGACTGTGGCTACAGACTAGTTCCAGGGCGATTATTACCAGGAGACACTGAGTATTTTCATTTCCCTCACTTAAAGAGACAATTTGGTTGGCAAGATTTTTTTTCGATTTCAGCTTGATTCCATACCGTACTTTTTGGTACAGGTATGGAATTCTCAGCATATGATATCCGTAGCCCAAATTTCGCAGGCCGACCATAGATATCAGGTGTGCGTTGGCAGCGGATCGAATCTCGGACCATATGCATGGTCGGCGAGAATCCTTACCACTGTACACATACTGCACTTAGAAAATCAATCTTTGTAGTAGTGGACGAGAGCTCCAACCTACGACACACTTGTGCAGGGTGGCACAGCGGTTAGGACTCTCGCCAACCATCCAAATGATCCGCTACCGACGCACACTCCATATCAATGGTCGGCCTGCTAAATTTGCGCTACCGATATCACATGCTGAAAATTCCATACTTGTACCAAAAATACGGTATGGAGTCAAGCTACATAAAAATTAATTAAATAAGCCCCAAATTATAATAGTGATACCAAAATGGAAGGCGCGAGATCGTGATATTTATATTGTTTTAAACACATCTCATGAAATACTTTATTGTATAATAACACAAGACGTGATAAAAAATTGGTTTTTCACATCATACTGCATTACTTCCAAAAGCGTTTCACTTATAAAGTGTACCATTTACAACTAATTTGTCTTATAAGCAAATGCGTACGCAAACAAGATCACTGCATTCTCAGTTTCATTTGTCAGCTTTATTCTTTGAAGTATCTGAGTCATTAGATTTAGGTGCAGAATCCACTGGTTTTGGGTCATCTGAGTTATCATTTTTATGTAATGCACGTTTGCTTTGGTCCCCAGACCCTAGTAACGCTTTCTTTGTATCTGTATTATTTCCTAACCCTTCTTCGTTTCGTTCTGTTTCACGATTTATTAACTTGTTACTGATTAGGTCATGTAATGCAAGTATCGCTCGCATTATAGCAGCGACATATATAACAAGCATTTGGTCATTTGTGTTAACATGGATAGCGCGAACTGTATCATGTAGCTTAAGATCGGGAAGCAGATTGAAAATATCCTGCAAGTGGTATATTACTCCATGGTTAACCGGTAGCTTAGAAGAAGCAACCAACTCCAAATATTCACTAATTTCGTGTAATTGTCTCAACAAGCCTGACAGTCCGTCCAACTGGCAGCCAATTCTTTGCGACAACGAGCCAAGTGAAGTATCTTTAATATCTCTATAAGCAAACAAGTGACGAAAATACAGAAGTGTTAAATATTTAAAACAACCTAAGATTTAATAGGGTATTACAAAATTGAGACAAACAAGACCACTGACTGACTGAGTTTTAACACAGAACTTTGCAAGTTACCACACACCAGGTAGAAAGCAAAAGTAGTAAAAAGAAATACAAAAGAAATATAATGAGCAGAAGTGTACATTAGAAACAATAGCAACATGGGGATTTAATGGGACCGGGAGATTAAAAAGTGAATGTATCTGAGGTCTTGAGGCACATCACTAACAGTCTCTAGCCACTGGTTCTCAGTTTCCCATGTCCTTTGGTCCATAGTTGGATGTCACGTCTACGGCAGAGCCGATATAAGTTAGCAAATACTACACTAGTCTTTGTGTTCGTACTGAGGTTTCTTCAGAAATCGGTGCATTAGGGCTGATTAAACTTCCCAAATAAGTGAAGTGGTCAAGAAGCTGAACCAAACTACTCCCTATCTTTAAAGTGACAGTCGGTGAAGACCAGTCTTGCAGCAGCTTCTGACACTTGACAAAGGAGAATCACATGCTAAAACCAATCAACATTCCTGCTCAAAGTGTTCAGAAGACTCTACCTTTTGTTAGTGTCTTCACCATGGTAGACCATATTATCTGCATACTTCAAGTCGACGAGACTGTACTCTGATAACAAGTCAAACTTTGAGTCGTTAAATTCGATTAGATCCACTAGTACATCTATGGTAAAGATGAACACTGGGCCTTCTTAAAGAATATCACTGGTAGTCATCACTTCAGAAAACGATACTTCACAACCTTTTACACGGTTGTGTGAGTCTAAGGAGAGTGCCATAATTAGTATGATATACTTTTCCGGCAATGATTTTACTGATAGACATTGTCACAGCATCTTCTAACCGGCGGAGGTCGGGTCAAGAAATGTTTTATACTAGTAATCATGTATATGCTTCATTATCTGTCAAAGAGTGGAAATATGATCAATAAACCCTCTCCTTGGCCTAAAGTCTGACTGCTTTTCACAGGGTTTGTTTCCCCTCAGCACAGCGCATGCTATGCATGATCACTGAACCTAGAACTTCTAATGTTACCTTATTAAACTTATCTAAGAGAGATATACAAATCTGTATACTTTAAAAACTGGAATAATCAGTAACTTACAGTAGCCTAATAGTACTGTCTTTGATTTCCAGACATTATTTAACACGTTAGTTAACCGAGATAACAGTTTGTTACCACTATGCTTAAAACCTCTGGATTCATTCTATTAGGCCCTGTGCTGCTCAGCTTCGTTTGCGATTAGTGAGAACTTTTGTGACCTCAGTTACATAGTGAGGACCGACGTCGACATCTCATTCACGTAGGTATGGGATGTTGGGCAAACTGGGCATAGCTGTAAGCCAGTTAAAATGCCACTCAAAATGTTTTTTTGACATCCCAGTGGTCTATCGTGTGGGGTAATTAAAGCACCGTTTTCTTCAGAAATTATTTAGTTTATCATGTCTCTTACAACCCGTTGCCCCATTCTGAACAGTTGTCTGATATTATCTACCGTTGATGCCTTAGGCTTTTATCGCTCACGGCTGTTTACAGTCGTTGCGGAGAATGGTGGTCGGTTTTCACTCATCATATTGGAAGCCCGTTGCAATCAATCTACATATGTTTATCAGTTCGGATGGAGTAGCAGAGGTCCACTGGCAATTGTTAACTTTGGGTTTCAGGTTATCAATGGCCTCTACCACCATTTCGACAGCTGACTGACTAGGTATTATACCAGGCTTTCTCAGGATGAGTTTTGCTGTTATTCTCTGATAAATGTCTAATTATCTCTTCCATGAACAGAAACTTCAGGGACTCATCAAGTTAGAGGGGTGATGGCTTCATTGCTACCCGTTTTTCATATCAGTCTAATTGCAGACATATACATACATATATGAAAGCGTGATCAGTCTAAGCAGGTGTTTCAGAAAAAGCAACAGTCTTCTACAGACTCTCTCAACCGACACCTTACTGCTACGTGATCTATTTGAGATCATCGCCAAATTGATGACGGATGTTAAGCAATGTATGTAGTGCTTGAAGCCAGTGCCGATCAAGAACAGATAATTGTCTGAACAGAACTTTGGAAGACGGTCACCGTTATTGGTACATCTGCACGGAACTCCATAGGTACACCCGCGTAATTCTGTTGATGGTGAAAATTCGCCGCTCAAGCATTGAAGTCACCTGCTGAAATGACTGTATCTGGACGTTTTACTTGAAGAAGCCAACTAAACAGCTCTTGACAGGAATCATCTTTTACTTCATATGAACTGCAGTCTGTTGGAGCGTAAGTATCCGTCCAATCGAACAGTGCATAGATAATCCATTGGGATTCAATCAAGGGTCTCCCAACTGCATGGCTCCTACATTCGTCGCAAGCATACACAAGCAGAAATTAAGGTACGATTGGTTTTCACGAAATTAATCAAGAAGAAACAGCAGTCTTCCGCCGACTCTCTGTCGATACATTATAGCTAAGTGATTGATTTGTGTTCATCTCTGACTTGGAGACCATTACGTAAGGCAATGTATCTAAGGATCTTATTTTAAGAAGCGAACTAAACAGCTTTTGATAAGACCCATTCTTTACTCATCCGAACAGCATTTGATTGATCAGTAAGTGGAGATTATGCAAAAATACCGTCTGTACCCACCTTTCTTAGTCCTTAGGATCTGTTTAGCCGGATCGACTATCAATTGGAATCTACTCGGGCTGCGAGACTTCTGCTCTAGCGCTCTATGCTATATCTATATTAGCAAGTCCACACAGATTAGTCAAATAATCCCTTGAAACACATTAGGTGAAATTTGTAGATTCACCGCATTGATCAGTCATATTTAAATGAATAAGCACACTCGAGTTCTGTTTGTGTATCTCCAAGACACGATATACATCTGAAGCCTAAGATGCTGGAGTTCTCGTGAGTCCCATTGTCGAATATCGCATTAGATCCGCACGTTGGTTCTAAGAGACTGGCTAAATTCGCTGGCAGAGATCACGGAGTCAAGAGAAGGTACAGAGCCCGTCTCTGTAATAGTCTTAACTGCGGGAAAGAAACCAGGAAGATAATGAGTGAAGAATGGAAATCAGCAATTTGTAGATGGTTGCTACTTCCCGGTTACCTACATCATGGAAACAGATCTCATGCTGAGAGGCATTTGAAAAAAAGCAGTAGTGTCGTGTAACCGAAGAGCTCAGCAGACAACAATCTCAAGCTAAAGTCTGTATGGAGGAGGGAATTCTGCAGCTGTGTCTATGCAGTAGAAGTTACTGCTCCCAAAAGAAAATGCTGCTGCGCCTCTATTCACCAGATGCACGGCTTCCTCCTCATGCTCATAATATAATATAAGCAGCGTACCCCGTGATAGCAAGTCTTATACTTAAAAACTATCAATTCAACCTTAATGTCACAGCGGAACCACAGCAACGTCTACTTTAGCCAGTATAGCCGATTGCATCACTATAAGATACAAGGCCGACTACCACTTCAAGATAGCTGCTATTATATATATATATATATATATATATATAGATGCTGCCCAGAACTACTAATATGAAATAGTGAGTTCAACTTAGTGAGGTACAACTCACAACCAGTGTGTGCCACAAAAGTAACACGAATATAACCCTTACCTCAATAAATGTTCCACACCAACCTCCTCTGCTTCTTCAGCATCCACTTCAGATCGAAGATGATCGAACGATTTTGTTGTCGGTGACCCATCCTTAAAAAGACCACATTGTTAGTAGAACTATACAGGAAGAATCTTGTAATGACAAAATACAATCAACAAGTAAAAGATTAAGTTCACTGTAGTTACCTTAAACTGAGTTTTTAATTACATAGCCCACTGATTCGCAGACCGCCAAAATGAGTCTGAAGTTACAGCAACGATTAATAACCGTATATTTTGTCGTGTGAGTGATGTGTAGTTGACAATTAAGGATCCCAAGTATATTCAACGATTTGCTAAAGGGATAATACTACCCAGATGTTTAGTCACATTTAATTTTCTACTGTGATTGGTGGTAGTAGGAAAACAAATCCCTAAGACTTGTATATCAGTCGTTTACGATTCTAGTAATTGCCGCAGATAGACATAGATGAGATAGACTCCATCTCTTAAGTATTCGAAAGCCAAATACTTGAACTAGTGTACCATATTTTTACACAAAAATATCCAAGACTAACAGCACTTGAATATTTTAATCCATGTTTACAACCTAGATCATATCTGAATAATACTTGAATGAAGCTATTTGCAGTCTACCTGAAAGTGAATGCACGAGCTTCATGAAGTGATAGAAAAGTGGAGATGAACCGTGAACAATTATAAGCTTATTGATATGCTCTATTAAGCAACTCCATGAGTGTCTTCAGAAGTCGCGTCACTAATTCTGATTCCAAGTCATATTTGACATCTCAAGTCACTACGTAACAAGATCTTGCCAACCTCACCCAAGAAGTAGTGATGCAACAATATATGCTAGTTACAAAACATATTACAAGCTGAAAGGCAACCTCTAGCTTGTCTGAATATCGATGAAGGGTTTAAGAAATAATTACACCATGACACCACCATACGCCAGTAACTTCATAGAGACTGACGACAGAACTGGTAGAACAGCCACACACTCTGCTCAGAAGCCACGTCCACCCATAAAGGGGTCACGCACACGGGCTTAATACGATTATGCTTAACATATATCGTCTTCACAAACACCGAGGACTGCAAGATTACGTACCGATTGAATAGCTTGTCTGTCATCAAATACCAAACAACATCCACTATGGATAAGATTTTATTTTAATATATCACACAGTGTTCTATAGTAATATTAACTGATGACGTTTCGAGCAAAAACTATTGCTCATAATCCTATCAAGTTACTTACACAACTTTTTTTCTTCATTTATATACATGTATGGAATCAATTAGATTTTGGAATAAAAATCAATATGAGATGATGTATATTCAGAAATAATAATAGGTGTTACTCGTCCTATTTCCCATCTAATTTTAATTGGTCAATAACAATCGTATTATTATTTCTGAATATACATCATCCCATATTGATTTTAATTCCAAAATCTAATCGATCCCACAAATGCATATAAATGAAGAAAAAAGTTGTGTAAGTAACTTGATAGGATTATGAGCAATAGTTTTTGCTCGAAATGTCCTCAGTTAATATTACTGTACAACACTGTGTGATTTATCAAAATAAGATCTTATCCATAATGGAGGTATACTCTACCACAGTGCACAAGTTTTACTCTTATAGAAGTGTTCACATTATTACGTTTTTTTATCTCTGAAGTAACAGAATCATCAAACTAGGCCTGTGTATTAAAATAACACATGCAGTTTTAAGTGAAAAGTTTACCGAAAAGATTTTTGAGGTGATTTCAGCAGGAGGAGTGAACAGCTCTTCCGTGAATCATGGTCGAGTCTATTGCGATATCACACTTCCTTGCTTTCCGAGAATGAGTACTTTCACTTAATTAGCGAAAAACTATAACCAGAAGGCATTTCAATTTGTTGCATGTAAACTCTGTGAAGTTAATTCTACATGCTTACTTCTGATTACCGATATCTATACAGGCAATAAATCAGAAAAATTTTCAGGAACATCAAGAGTGTTGAAGCAGTTATATCAGAAATGAGTGTTGTGAGGGTCTGCAAAAGTATTACAGTTTTCATACTTATGCCAAACAACATCGTCTGAATAATAATGGTGGCAATTTTTTCTGCGAGGAACATCTACAAGAAAACATAACCACATACGTACTTCAGATGTCTTCAGAATTGGATTGGTGAGAATGTATGAGAGAAACGGTAAAATCAGACAATTCCAATACAGGGTGAGCCAAATAAAAATATGCAGTTTAATGACTATTAAATCTGAAGTGCTCCGTCTCAGGACTTAAAGACATCACAAGATCTTTAAGTAAACACTATTCCTAATAAACATCTCTCAAGGGGAGTCATGCCCGTGGGGTCACACGCAGTCGACATACCAAAAAGATACTACGGTTGACATGTAATGTGCCCTAAGTTTAAATAGTTACATAGATAAATAAAACTTACTAGAACATGTTTCCTAATATGTACGACCCAAATCATTTTACCGTACTTTAAAATGGTTCTATAAACTGCAACACAAATCAGACAGAAGCAATTCACAACTTCCATTCCGTGCATTAGTTAAATTATACAAACATTTCAAGTGATTTATTATTTGTATCAAACACTGGGTATTTTTTGAACTCTGTGATTCCATTATTGACTGTGTTCAAGATATTTATAAGCGAATAATTCTCAGTTTATTCTTTGGAGATACTAAAGGTTACCTAAAAATCTGCTTTACAAAATGCGATAGTACTGCTACATTGTATCTTGGAAAAGTATTGAAAATTGATGAAACAGCCAATTCACACAGGTGTTCGACCAAGAGCTACCGGACAGATCAGAGTTTAAATAATCAAAGCGTGAAAGTAAACAGCGGAAATTCACTTAGTGACTGATCATGTATGATTCAAGTGAATTACAACATTCAAAAAGATCAAGTGTTAGGCTCAAATATTACCAAATATAACCAGAACTTACATCGTGAATCTCTTCGACAGCAATGTAGGCCTCAGTTGGTAAACCATCAACTTCTTTTCTTCTGACATCAACGACAACCAATACCGAATTCGGAGTGTATTTACGGAAAAGTTCATTGATCTTTATGTCGTTTGTGCAAAGCTTAGGACCTGAGTGATACCAACCCACAATCTTTTCACGAGCTATCATAAACGACAAATCAATATAAACTACGCCTTACCATTGACTTTCTTAAACATTGCAAACATGCTTTCCAAGTAATCATGGTCGAGGAACCATACATCAGGATCAGATATATCTTCCTCAAATGGCACTAAAGGGGTTTTTATAGGTGATGCTTTGTACCTGCAAAGCTATTACTGACATCCAGTACAGTTCCATTCAGTGATCCTAAAAGAACACCTACAACTCGCTTCTGGCCACTTGTAACTTTTCCTGACCGACTGTAGTGATCAACCACTCCTAGTAGGACCAGAGGGTGCACCACAACTTTTTTGATTTTCGTTTGGCTTGGTGTTTTTTTCTTCGCATATTCAGTCTCTTCAACATCTAAAGTCTGGATACCGTTTACAGATAGCACACACGCTCACCATGATTAGGAACGACAACCTAATTACCCGCCTTGAGGCTGTAGGGCAATTCAAGGACTTCGTGATTCCGTTAAGGTAAAAATCTGGTTGTTTTATCGAAGACCAGAGTAATTTGCTTGGATAAACCACTTGAATTGATCCTTTGGCATCAAAAGACACGTCCACCTGGGAATATGTGTGCATCTGAGTAAAAATGGTTTAATATCAGTAAAAAGTTTGAGCATTGTGGATTAGATCAAATAAAGTATAATTATATTTTAATAGTTTACACACAATGATAAGTTTTGTTATTGGTAATTTTGCTCGAAATATTACCAATAGCAGAACTTATCATTGTGTGTAAACTATTAAAGTATAATTATACTTTATTTAAAAATGGTTTGTTTAGCCAGTGATATCCCTAATCTGCTGTCTACAGTTTTGACGATAGGGCTGAATTTCACGTTAGTTCTTCCTTTCAAGTGTTAGTGGTCTTCTAGTTCCATCTCAAAAAGTCAGTGAAGGACTTAAAGACCACTCCTTCCAAGATTTAGTACCACAATTTATTTTAGATCTAAATGCAGCAACTTCTAAAACAAGTGTATCACTGTTAAATTATATGAACATTACTGTGACAAAATTCTGGGCCGCTTCCAGATATCCAAATTTTTCCACAGTTTTCCTGAATCAAGAGGTTTATGAGAAGGCTAGACTGACTTTTTGAGCTCCTTGTGTACTTGAAATACCGCAAAACATTTCAGTCCCTAGCTTAACATGAAAAATCGTTCATAGTACGATTTTCTCGATTTGGTTTGATACCATTACTCACTTAAGTCGTCCCTTTGTATCTTGCTCTTATATTTATAAACAATAACACATCCATTTTTTCATACTAATGAATGTGTGGAAGTACCTCCACACAACTGTCAGCTTAAAGGATTGCTTGCTTTCGCTCACAGTTTACATGCTCCATATCCTTCCTTAGCGTTCCTAACGGTTCTCACCACCGATCTGTAGAGTTGCTCAAATCCAGGCAGCCTGTCAAAGTGGGAATGTAATGTCTTGTAGCACTCTGCATTCCACCATCGCCCACGAAACGGAATTAGTGCCTGTTACCACCTCATATTTCGTATCAACAAGAAACTGCGTTATCTAAGTAAAATGTCATTTTTTCTTGGCCCAGTTTAGGGAAAAACAAGGCGCGACAGATTTGAGATATGTAGTGAAATTTATGGTGAATCCGTTGGCAGATTTCTATTCCTAGATTGGACTTAAAGGATTTTCTTTGTGATGTTTATAAGAAGGAGGAAGCTGCTACAAAACCTACGTTGTACACAAGAATACAAGCCTGTTTCCTAGATTAGGGAAAAGGTTATTTCCCAGAAGAAACTAACTCATCAGGGCTTACTAGGCATCTTTATAAACTATTATTTAATCATTTAACGACACACCACCCACTTAAATGGTTTTTACGTCTAATGGGGGGTCCCATTAAACGGACCACTTTGTATATTAGAGTGTCACAATAAGCCAATCTTTGTGAAATAAAATTAAAACGTTCTTCAGGAGTTTCATTCAGTTTGTCAAGGAGTAATTTACGTAATATATTATACGTTCATTTGCCGTCTCTGGCGTATGTGGCTTAATATATTTGCACCTCTCAAGTATTGGTTTTGTAGGTATTTTGTTTGACTGGTCACAGGATTTCATCATGGGCTGACATCAGTTAGAGGACCGCTGAAAAACTTGGAACTACTGGAGATCTGGGTCGTCAGCCTACTTTGGGACTGTTCAGCAGTAGGTACCCACCGGGATTCGAACCGAGGACCTTCTGGCTGCAAGGTGAGCTCGTAGATCATTAAGTCATTTGGGACAGTGGCAGTGACTCATCGAAGAAGGCATTGCGAAGTTGTCTCGCCATGTCATGAATTCCAGAAGTTAGAATTCATGGGCCATTGGATCGGGTCCCAGTGGCTCAATTGTCTACGAGCTCACCTTGTGACCAGAAGGTCCTGGATTCAAACCCCAATGGGTGCGTACTGTTGAATAAACCCAAACTAGGCCGACGAAATAGCTATCCAGTACTCCCATATGGTTTTCCAGTGGTTCTCCATGGATGCCAGCTCGTGATGAAAACTTCCATCCAATAGTTGCGTCTTAATTTCAGAATATGACATGATATCACAGAGATGTAAATCTTATTGTGAGAAAGCATTTACAAAAAGCAGTGTCAAGGTTGTAACTTCAAAAGCTGACAAAACAGAATCAGGGTTTGTTGCGCTTTGGTTAAAATATGCTGTATGGAACGCGAAACGTCATAAAGTGATTGGATCGATTCCATGAGGTGAGACGTTAAAAGTTGGACAGAAGACTCAAAGGATTACTGTTCGTCCGACAAACAGATCAAATAGGTATCATACTTCCTAATGAATAGCGACGCCTAGATCCCTTGAACCAATAAACCCTAGCACCAGCAGTCACTACAACCAGTAATCACACATTTCGCAAAAGTCTTAATCATACTCAGACATACAGGTTTCTGCTAGCAAGCTCCAGCTTTTCAATATCTGGGATTACGGTTCAGTCACAACTAGCATTCGCCTACGCAGACGTTTAGCGCTAAACTCTCGTTAGTCTACACCGTGTCTCCTTTTGAATTTACGCCCGCATTGATCCAAAGCTTCTGTATGAACCAAATCTCATTCCTTTCTATAATTCCGAGGAACTGTCACTGTGGTGGTAATCTCAGAAAGATTTGCTGAATTCGTCCAGTACAGTGAAATATATCCAAATAGGGCACCATAGCTAAGTGTTCAATCCTGGAAATACAAACAAGCAATAAAATGACACAAATCAAAGCCTACTTATATTTAGCAAACATGTAAGTAAGTATCAGTGGGCAAAGTAAGATCGGATTCAAAGTTTCGTTAAGGCACACTCTACATACAAGTCGAAAGTAAACCCATATTTGTGGGCCCAGTAATGGTTTGCTAACCCTGAAGAATAACAAGCTTCAGCACTCTTACTCACTTTAGTGTCGAAATCGATGTCGGCTTACCCCGGCGCCTGACTTTGTTACTCTAATTACTCAAGCAAACACACGTTTTTCTATCTGGATATCATCTGTTCTCGCTTCGATGATTCCTAACGTAGAGTGACTAATAATTCAAAAATCCCCTCCTAGTAGTCCGCCTGCAGTACTCACATTTATTCCATCATCCCTTGTAATTTTGCAATTCATAGTCTTCATACCTCATATGCGCACCGTTGTTCCTAAAGTCTCACACCATCTTCCGAATGAACCCCATTACTTGCCCCTATTTTTGGTAGAATAAAATTCACAGTGCTTCTCTCTGCTTAGATAAGAGGCTAGATTGTCGACAGTAATTTACAATTATACTACCGTCAACATTTTTGATGGATGAGCCAAAGGATGCTCTTTGAAGTGAACACTTCGCCTGGCTGTCTACTGCAAACATGTTTTGTCCCATTCGGCTATTGTGAACACGGTTTAAATCTCATTTTGTTGAGATTATTCTTGGTCATTTATACTCCCAAAGCCAAACTTTTTCAGGCACCTTGTCAAACAAGTCTTATAAACCGTTAACGCCCAGCTCTTGCTACGCAGGGCCTCTCGTTGTCTGTCGAATATTTTCAGAAACGCTTAGTATTAACCGACGAAAACCCAAAACACTGTTTGACGACTCAAGAATTCTTTATTTTAACGCCAACATATAACCAGAAATACTGGCATTGAAGACTAAGGTCTAAAAACAAATATTACCACAATAAATCACGATATTATTTCTGAGAGTCTTTTCTATCTTCTATCTGAACAGCGATTGATGAGACGATGACTGTCGTATTGATGCTTCCGCGAAAAATTGGGGAAATTGGTTTTGAGCGAACAACCATGAATTGATCATTCAATATTCAACTACATTGACAAACGATCAATTCATGGTTGTTTGATCAAAACCAACTTCCCCAATTTTCGCGGAAGCATCAATCAGCCAGTCATCGTCTCATCGGTCGCTGTTCAGAAAGAAGTCAGGACAAATACCGTCAGAAGTAATATTGTGATTTATTATCGTAATATTTGTTCATAGACCTTAGTGGAAACATTTTTTATATGTTGGTGTTACAATAAAGAATTCTCGAGTGGCCAATCGGTGTTTTGGTTTTTTCGTCCGTTATTACTAAGCGTTTCTGAGAAACTTCAAGGAACAGCGTGAGCCCGAGCGTAGCAAGAGCTGGGCATCAACGGTTTACGAGACATAGCTGACAGTTTCTGACGGTAGAAACAGATTCTGGCGGATTCAGACAGTTGGTGAAAGTTTGGATAGTCACCGTTCATCTTTCCTGGTGCCGGTCAAGTCCTCTTTGAACAAGCAATATCTGGAACTTTTTTGAATTGGTTCGAGTTCAACAATGTCTGGGTCAAAGAAGGGACAGAGCGTCTTGGATGCAAACAGGAAGTTAAGTCATGGTGACTTGTCTGTTAATTGTAACGATGTGTCTGATGTTAAGCATGACATGGTTGATGTTACTGTTTCGCCGTTCAGGGGTTATAGGAACATCAAACCCCTAAATTTGAACCACGGTGTTTCGATGGAAACCCGGCTGATTATTTACAATTTGTAAAGGAGTTTGAGATCATGTTGAGTAGTTTTCTATTAAGTGATGAATTGAAATTGATGTATTTGATGAGGTATTGCACTGGAGATGCTTCAATAGCTATACAGTGCTGTAAGCTCATGCCCCCTAATGATGGATACGCTGAGGCTATGAGCATATTACGTCAAAGGTTTGGAAGACCTTCAATGATTGTAAGGAACGTATACGAAGCTGTCAAAGGTAACGGCAGTCAACTTCAAGATGACTCCAAGGCACTTACTGAGTTTTAGATAATCTTATGACTTATAAGAATACGTTGATTTCGATGAATTGCATGAGTGACCCCAACTCGAGCTCAGTCCTAGAGGTAATTGCGAGACGCCTACCTACTCGACTGCAAAGGAAGTGGGTAAAAATAAGCTCTCGTATAGAGGAGGAGGTCAGCAAATGAACTCTACAACGATTTTCAAACCTAGGGCGTCAACCTGAGAGGGGTTGTAGGCGTACTGCTGTAAGTCCTGCGATTCTTCACAGGAATTCCATCAAGATATGATCCGCGAGTTTGTGTGTACTGTTTGTATATACGTGTGGTGTGTCATATCATTTGGTGTTTTTTGGA